TTTTAAGTGCCGACAACAAATCATTTAATTCTTATGTATTCACATATCTAACAAACAATATCATTGTCGGGTCCCAAGCTCCGGATGCGAAAAGTGAAGGGTTGCTTTAGGTAGCCGGCAGCCAACTTAAAATTTTATTGAAAAATTATGACAAGGATCTTTGAAATCATCGGCTAAATGTTAAGGCGTCCCCTAGAAACGACGTGTTGTATGATCTGAATACAGTAAAAAGTGTGCAAGGGTCACTACACCGGTGCCCAAGTGTAATGGAAAACAAGCAAGAGTTCTCACATTATGGATGGATGCAGGCAAAGAAGTTAATCCATGAAACTAATATTAGGATAGAATCTTGGAATACAAGTACTCTTACAAATAAATTAATGAAATTAGTAAATATTATGGTTCATAGGAAGATAAATATCTTTATGAATTCAAAAAACTAAATTGATTGGACTGAAGGCTAAGGAGATCAATAGCTTAGGTTTTAAACTTTAGTATTCAAGTAGAAATCGAAATAAAAATGGTATAGATGTAATTATAAAAAAGGGTTTAAAAGATAATGTTGTAAAAATTAATAGAATTAGAGATATAATTATAGCCCTAATGATTGTTTTTGATACTAAGATTTTTAATATTATAAAAGCTTATGCTCATCAAGTAGGTTTAGATATAGATTTAAAAAAAAATTTGGAATGACCAAGAATAATTAATATAAATGATACTTCTTAAAGAAATAATTTTTATTTGAGAAGATTTAAATGAACATGTTGGTAGAGTGGTAGAAGATTTTAAAAATATTCTTGTTGACTACAGTTTTGGAGTAATTAATGAAGAAGGTGGAGTCCGATCAGATTTTGATTTATCTTATGATTTTGATTTTGCTAATAATTTATTTAATTTATTTAAAAAAAAAAATGAGAAGGTTATTACTTATAAGAATGGATCTAATAAATAATATTTTTTTTTTTTTATGAAAAAAAGATATCGTTGAGGATGTAAAGATTATAAGGTCATTTCAAGTGAAAATTTAAGTACTCAACAACAATTATTAATTCTGGATTTAAGATTAACAGTTGTAAAATAAATAATACAATGAAATATTGTTATATAATTAGATTGAGGCACCTAAAAACACAAATAAAATTATTTTTATGAGTAACCTTCAAGATTTTAAAATTTGAGATGTTCATTGAAAAGCTAAATTTATGTGGGATAAAATAACAAACACTATTAAACAAGTGACAAAAGATGTATTTGGAGAATGAAAAGAATAATTTTTTTATTAAAATATAGTTGGTGAGATGTATTTGGAGAATGAAAAGAATAATTTTTTTATAAAAATATAGTTGGTGATGGAAAAATATTGTGCAAGAAAAGATAATATTGTGCAAGAAAAGATAAAATATAAGAAGTGCTATAAAAATTGATTTAAATGTAAAACCTTAGATAACTAGAAAAAATATAAGATAAGACGTAGAGAGTCTAAGAGAATAATTTGTGACGCTAAGAATTCTACTTTTAATGGTCTTTATAATAGATTAGATACTAAAGATGATTAAAAATATATGTATAAACTAGCTAAACAAAGAGAAAATAAAAGTAAATATTCAATTCAAGTAAAGTGTATTAAAGATGAAAATCAAGTTATTTTCTCAAGAGAAGATATTTAACATAGGTGGGTGAGTTATTTTGATAAAATTTTTAATGATGTTTATGAAAATATGATCAACCTTAGTGCTTTTATTTAAAACTTTTTATTTTATCGCCGCATTAGTAAAAAAAAAGTTAAGGAGACTTTAAAGAAAATCAGTAGGACCTAATGATATCCCTATTGAAGTATGAAAATATCTAAGAGATTTGGGAGTTTTTTGGCTGACTAAACTCTTTAATATTATTTTAAAACTAAAAAAATGTCCGCGGAGTGGAGGAAGAGTATTTTGGTCCCCATTTTTAAGAATAAAGAGGATGCACAAAAGTGTGCAAATTATAGAGAAATTAAATTAATGTGTCATACATTAAAATTATGGGGGAGGGTAATTGAACATAGATTAAGACGTGATACACAAATTTCTCATAATCAGTTTGGATATATGTCGAACAAGTCTGTTATGGAAGTTATACATTTATTGAGAGGTTTGATGGAGAAGTACAAAGAGAGCGAGGAGGATCAACATATGATTTTTATTGATCTAGAAAAAGCTTAAGATAAGGTTTCAAGAGAAGTTCTTTGGAGAGTTTCTTTGGAGAGCTTTGGAGAGTTCTAGAAAAGAAAGGTGTTGATAAGACTTATATTCAAGTCATTAAAGATATGGATACTAGAGATGTTACTTGTGTTCGAAGGGAAGAAGGATTGACTTGACCAAGTACTTTCCTATTTTAGAGGGATTACATCAGGGATCGACTATAAGCCCATAGCTTTTTTGCTTTAGTTATAGATGCTCTTACTGAACATATATAGGAGGATGTACATTGGTGAACGCTTTTTGTTGATGATATCCTTCTTGTGGATAACACTAAAGAGTTCAGAAAAAACTTAAATTATTGAGGTCTACATTGGAGTCTAAAGTTCTTTTTTTAATTAGATATAAACTGAACACATGAAATATAATTTTAATAGTAGTAACTCTAATGGAAGAGTTATAATTGTGGGCGATCAAATCATTAAAAGGTGTGAACGTTCTAAATATCCCGGGTTTATTGTTCAAAGTGATGGTGAGAAAGATAGGGATGTTATTAGTAGAATCCAGGTTGGTTGGTTAAAGTGGAGGAAAGTATCAGACCTATTGTGTGATAGAAAAATAACGCTTAAACTTAAAAGAAAATTTTATAAGATGGTGGTGAGAACTGTAATGCATTATGGCACAGAATGTTGGCCTTTAAAAGGGCCTTTAAAAGAGAAGTAAAAGAGAAGCACAAAACAAAGTTAAGTATTGTTGAGATGAGAATGCTTAGGTGGTTGAGTGGCTGGACACTTAGAGACTAAATGCAAAACAAATCTATTCGTCAAATGGTTGGTGTAGCTCCAATTGAAGATAAGTATAGAGAGAACTGTCTTAGATGGTTTGGTCACATTAAACTGCAATCATTTGATGATCTGACTAGGAGAGTAGATTTTAGATTTATGTTAAGAAAGGAAAAGGCAAATCAAAAAAGAATTGGCCTAAAAGGACTTGGTCATATTATATAAAAAATGGTCTTAATCTATTAGAATTAAATGAAGATATGATACTTAATAGGACACAATGGAGAAAAAAGATTCATGTAGCCAACCCCACTTACTGAGATAAAGACTTATTGCTATTGTTGTTGTATTTACATATCTAACACTTAAACTTTAATTGGTACATATTTACAATCTTAAGTATTAAAATGTGTATTTCGTTATTACCAAAAGTGGTATTTTTGGTGTGATATGATAAAGTTTTATACATGTAAGAAAACAAAGTTCATGTATGTAAAAGCTCCTATAAAATGCATGATTCCGTGCAGAAAACTTGAAAAGTAAAAAAGGATGATTACCATGCCCAGGTATCAGAGATCCAGAGTCCTTAACACCAGCATCACGCTTAATCATTGATTCAGTAAGATCCCCAAAGAGAGAACTAATGAAATTCAGAATTCCAAAAGCTGAAGCACTGAATTTTAAGTAATAATTCAGAATCAATTCAACAAAAATTTCAAAATGAAAATATAAATCAGAGTTAAGCAGAAATATTTGATTGATTAAATTAATCCATTATTAAAGGATAAGAAGATGTCCCCGCTCCGAATAAATCAGAATAATAAAAGAACATGCCATACAAGTTATGACGTTCAAAATTTTTAGAATTACAATAAAACATTCAAATATTAGCAAAATATAAGTCAATTGTTGCTAAAAGATCAAATAATTACATAAAACAATGGCTTCACCTATCACAAAACTGATATTGCTATTTAGCAGTTTTGATTCAAGCTGAACTTTTTAACCATTTTGAAACAAACAAGAAAGCCTCTATCAATACCATAAATAGATAATGAGTTGTTTAATGGGAACAGCTATGTATTCCACAAAATGAAAGCTTAAAGCAAATGGTAAGAAACGATCATTAGTATTCCATTCAATTCCTATGTATTTACATATCCAACACCTAAACTTCAATTTTCGCATGCATGCCACTTTACATCTGCATGAAAAGGTGTATTTCACTTTTGTGTTTTTAATTAAAATGGTGGTACTTTTGATGTGATATGAAAGATTTGGGTGAGATAAATGTTGGTGGAATTTTTTTGGAAAGCTGAGAAGTTCAGCTCCTCTTCATGGTGGTAGGTTGATTCACAAAATCATGAAAATTTTTATTGATGGTCTCTTTGGAAACCCCTTTCTTAATTTTATTCCCTTCCTAGTTTATGTTTTTTTTTTTTTTGGCAAAATTATTTCATTTCCTAATTTAGACTAGATGTATTTGGTCGTTTATAAATTAGAAGGGATTGGTTTCTCTATATACATGTACCCTACATGTGAATAATAAAATCAAATATTTTTTCCTCCCAAAGTTTGTTTTTCAACATGGTATCAAAGGCAGACATCTCCTGGAGGTATCCTGCTCCATTACACTTTTCAATCAAACTCCCAAATATTTTTGGGAGGAAGCAGTTCTTATTGCAACATAACTTATCGATTGAATGCATGGCGAGGTACTTAACTTCAAACACATCTTCCATCTTTTAATGGTTGTTTGTCCTCAAATCGGAACATTCTCTTCTACTATACTACTTAAAATCTTTAGGTGCATATTATTTGTTCACATCCATTCCCAAAATGATACAAAACTTGACCCTAAATCTATCAAGTGTATTTTTCTAGTGTATATCTCCAACAAAAATGAGTATAAGTGTTACTCCTGTTACTAGAAAAAACTACAACTTCATAGATGCTACATTTTTTTATAAAATCAATGATACTACCCTAAATCTAACGTTTAGGGAGAGAGTACAGATGAGCATCAATTTTGGGATGCACTTGATGACACCTATATGGCCTCACAACCTACTCCACCTAGCCCTCCCATTCTGGTTAAAGATGTCCAACCAACCCAACCTGATATGCATAACAAAGAACGTTCTGTGTACACAGGGAGGAAGAAAAATCTTGAGCAAGTGGAAGGTAACTTGCAGGTACATAACTGCTCAAACCAAAACATAATTTCACATTCACCTGAAAATTTGGGTCGGGAAAAGTTAGTACTCAAGAGTTATCTCATTCCTCTTGTGATGTTGGTGACAAGAAAAAATGCATTAGAAATCCAATTCAAGAGTATATAGCTTCTGGGAAGCTATCTTCATCCTAGAAATTTTTTTGTTTCTGGCATTAATTGATAGTGTGCAAATTCCTAAATCCATTAATAGAGCTCTTGAAAATTTAGAATGGAGGAAAGTGGTTGAACAGGAGATTCAAGCACCAAAATGTAATGACACATGAATTCTTACAAAACTCCCTCAAGATAAGAAGCCAGTTAAATGCAAATAGGTTGTCAATAATAAATACAAAGCTGGTAAAGGTATTAAGAGATTTAAAGCCAGACTTGTTGTGAAAAATTTCACTCAAGCCTATGAGAATGACTATCATAAGACCTTCACACCATTGACAAACAAAACACCATCAAAGTTCTTCTTTCAGTAGAAGTTAACAAGCAATCGAGATTGCACCAACTTGACATAAAAAATATTTTCCTAAATGGGATCTAGAAGAAGTGTATATGGAGATACCATCAGAACTTGAGAATAATTCCAATAAGTAGCTAGTATGTAAACTTAGAAAGTCTCTCTATGAGTTTAAGCAATCATCAAAAATGTGATTTGAAAGATTTGCTATGACTATGAGATCTAATGGATATTTTCAAAGTCAAGTTGATCATAATTTGTCCATAAAATACACTCAGGGAAGTAAAATTGTTGAACTGATAGTATATATGTGATATGATTCTTATTGGTGGTGATGAAAGAGAGACTTTCAAGATTAAACAAGTGTTTGTCACAGAGTTTGAAAACAATGACCTAGGAACTATGAGGTATTTTCTAGGTAAGGAGGCAGCAATGTCCAAAAAAGGCATTGTTATATCACAGAAGAAATACATCCTAGATCTACTATAGGAGGCATGGAGGAGGCATGGATGATTGGATGCAAGCTCGCTGATATTCCAATGGATCTAAATAAGAAAGCTAACAAGGGAGAAGAAAGTGTATATGTGGATAAGGGAAGATATCAAAGATTAATAGGAAAACTTATCTAGCCGTCCCATATATTATGTACTCTATCAATATTGTGTGTCAACACAAATGAAAATAAACATTTGGGGTCGTGTACAAAATTCTGACATTTCTCACTGATGCAAGTTAGGTTGGTAAACTCACTAGCAGAAGGTCCATCACAGGTTATTACTCCTATATACGAGGAAATTTGGTTACGTGGAAAAGTAGGAATCAAGCTATTATTTCTAAAAGCAATGTTGAGTCAGAGTATACAACACTAACCTTAGAAATCTGTGAAGGAATCTAGATTCATAAATTATTGAACGAATTGGGGTGCACCTTCAATAGGCCTATAGGGATGTTTATGACAGTCAAGCAACCATCAGTATTGCCGAGAATCAATGTATCTTGACAGGCCAAACATATTGAAATTGATAGGCCCTTTATCTCTGAAAAGGTTAATAATGTTATACAAGTAAGCCACATCCTGACAAACCAACAAATTGCTGATCTCTTCACCAAGTACTTCCTTTAAGCATTTTCTCGTAGTTCAACACCAAGTTTGGTCTCCACAACATCTAAATGTGGAAAGTTGAGAAGTTCCTTCACAAAATTATGGAAAGATTTGATTAAGCTTATCTTTAAAAACCCCATTATTAATTTTATACCCTTTCTATTTTATATTTTTCAAAATTAATTCCTTTCCTAATTTATTAGACTAGATATATTTGGTAAGTTTGTAAATTAGGAGGGATTGATTTATCTCTATATAGGCACCCTACATGTGAATAATAAAATCAGATAGTTTGTCCTCCTAAAGTTTGTTTTTCTACCAATTATTTAAATGCTCCAAATTTAAAACATTAATACTCAAGCATGGTTCAGAAATGAAGAATGTTGCACATACTTGCCAGCACTATATTACGTATGCCTTTTAAGAACTTCAAAATATCTTTGATACAGAACTTTATTCCGTAATGTGAACCAAATCATTTAAGTCAATATTTTTTCTTGCTCTTTATTTTCTGCATGGTTTCCTTGGCAAAATAAAAAGTTCTATGATGGATATTCCTCAAATAAAGTCAAATTGATTCATTGTTATCAATCTAATTCTTGCAAGTCAATTATCCATTCACCCCCTTCCACAACTTCATTTTATAACTCATAAATTTGACTCAATTTTAAATCACAATGCTTCCAAGAGTGTCATTACTTGTTGACTGTGGGAATTAAAATATTTATTCTCCAATCATTTGACAACCCTTTTAAAGGTCATTTGTTGGGCACAAACTTAGTGTAAAGTTTAGATTTGTAAATCAAATTTGTATTTGGTCTGAACTTAATGAAATTAATAAAGTTGCATTTTTTTTCTCCTTTCCTGTAGGCCCATTAGAGATCAATCGCATTAAAGTAAATGCAATCAAACAATCAAATCGGTCTCATTAATTCAAAAAAGCTAATCTAATACCATTTATAACTTTCAAAATTTCAATAAGTATATTATTTGAACCCCAAAGCTCTGCCATGATGCAACGTTTGAGAGCCAACTACATGTCAAGTGTTTGGATCAATTAATTAAATACCTCATTATTTTGTTTATCGAATCCTACCAAATTTCTTTTTAAAATCTTATTTAAAGTCTTCTCAAAGTTACAATTTGATATTTCACCGAAAATTATATGATAGAATTACGATCAAATTATAAAAAATTTCAAAGAGATCAATTATGGATAAAAGGAAAATTTTGCAAATAAATTTATAATTTAATCGGGCCGCAATAAAGGATATCAAGTTTTTCCTGGGCTTTTTCTCTCGTTTTATCCACGAGAAGAATATCATCAGCAAAAAGCATACACCAAGGTACATCCACTTGTAGAATTTGAAAGATGCAGCAATGGGACTGCATGCTACAGTAATACAGGGAAAATTAACTGAAGGGGCATTTACACAGCCCACAATTCTTACATATTTACATATCTCACATCTAACTATCATATTTACATACATAGCACTATAATCTTTAATATCACATCAAAAATATCATTATTATCACTTTTTAAAAATGAAATACACTTTTTTTCATGCGTAGGTTTAAAACACTAAAGTGCTATGTATGTAGATATGAAAGTTCGGGTGTGAGATATGTAAATACATAAGAATTGTGTGCTACATATGTAAATTTCCCCTAAATATTTAGCAGTGAACGTCAGCAGATGATTTCTCAACTAACAATAAGTCTGTAAATATTTACCTTAATAAAGATGAAGGCCACGATAAAATCCTTGACAGAGTAATTGCAACAGCTATACAACCTATTAAACCAGCAAAGGCACCCTCCAAAGTCTTCTTTGGACTTATACTAGTCAACGGAGTCCGGCCAAATGCCTGCAAATTACAGTCCAGCTCCTTTCATTCAATATGCTAATAAAAAGGCATTAAAAATTTCAAAAAGGGAAGATTTACATACATACCACTCAATTCATATTTATTTACATATATAACACCTAAACTTTAATTTTTACACATACCACGTTACCTATGTATGAAAACGTGCATTTGACTTTTTAAAAGTTAAAATGATGGTATTTTTGACGGAATATGAAAGATTTGGGAGGTATAAATATAAAAAGTAAAGTTTAGATGTTAGATATGTATTATCGGGATAGAGTGGTATGTGAATGCCTCTTGAAAAAAATTCTAAATATAATGAAGCCTAAAGAAACGAACACTTAAACAAGTGATAAGTATTAGTATTTCTTTCATTGTAAATCATGAAAAAGAAGCATAAGTAAAAAAGAACTAGAGAATGCTTTATTTATTACAGTAAGAATCATGACAAAAAGCGTATCAAACCAATACCATAAGTCATAAACCATCCTTCAGGCACAAAAACCTGCCACTTTATCTTTTGTGATAAACATTAACACGTTTTACAGAACAATGTTGCATTTATTTCATAATTTCTAGCACAACTTCTATATCAAACTACCATAACACCCAACCTTCCTCCTTCCTAATTTGAGGTTGTAAATCAACAATGTCCAGCTATAGTACGGATCATCAAAAGGCATAAAAGGCTGCAAATTGTGTGTTCTATGAGCGGTAGCAAATGGATGATTTTATGGGTTAAAGCCTGACAGACGTTCAAACCTTTCAGCAAAACTGAAGGGGCATTTACATACATACCACACAATTCTTATGTATTTACATATCTAACATCCAAACTATAATAATTACATGAATAGCACTCAAATCTTTAATATCCCATTAAAAAAGCCACCATCAAACACTTTTAAAAAGTTAAATACACCTTTTCATGCATAGGTTTGTCACACCAAAGTGTTATAAATGTAAATATGAAAATTAGGCGTTAGATATGCAAATATAAAAGAATTGTGTGGTATGTATGTAAATTTCCCAAAATTGAATTATATTAATCAAAAGGTGATTGTACTAAATTATGAATATGCCAGAAAATGAAACTCGTGGCTGTCACTAGATTTCATGCTTTTCACACAAGACAGTAGCGCAAAGTCAGGACAATTTAAAACTCCCAAATTAACTTGTCAAATAGCATGAAGAATCAAAATTAAGATAAAAAGAAATCAAAAGCAAATGATTTTCTGCCGAAAAAGAGCAGCAAATTTATTTCCTCTGCAAGTTTGGGTGAGAAGGGAAGAGATCCTCAGAAGTATTATTAGTTTTAGCTCACATTGCTGCACATTATACCAAATTTAAGCTAAGCACAATTATGACAAAAGACTTCCCAAAATTTAATAAATAAAATTTTTAATTTTCCTGTTTGCATTACTTTTAAACAGCAGCTGTCTTTTAGCCTTCACAAATGAAAGTCTAGACCTAAAATACACTATGATTTCAGATATCGTGGCAATCTTAAATGGATGCCACAAAATTGTTATTTGAATTGCAATTTATAAGCTGTCTTTTAGCCTTCACAAATGAAAGTCTAGACCTAAAATACACTATGATTTCAGATATCGTGGCAATCTTAAATGGATGCCACAAAATTGCTATTTGAATTGCATTTTATACAATTTTAGAAAAAAGTAGAAAAAATAAAGGTCCTAACCATAAATTCAGATCATTCACTTAGAACACGTAGCTACCAACAATCAAGCATTTTTTTCAATTTAACATTAGTTTAGGCAAATGAACAATAGATTCAGCTTCCACTATAAATTTATAACTAGTAATAAAATTCAGGAGATTACCCTTCCACCGATAAAAGCAAATGTATCCGCTGCAATAATGCTGCTAACAGAAATAATGGTTGCTACAAGCCCAACCGTCCAATGAGCACGACCACCAAGAAGAATTGGCCAATATTTCCCTAATTCTGCAAATATATATTCCAAAGCAAGGACATCAATAATCCCATAAATTCATTTTTGACCAAGCATTAGCAAATAAAAACAAGATGGTAAAAAATATCAGAAAATACAAGTATGAAATATTGAGCAGAAAAAGAAATCGGTTCGACTTATGGGGAAAAAAAAAACAAAATCTTGTAAATGAAAACACTGTGATAAGATAAACATTAAAGTTGAAACTGAGAAAAAAGATTTTATTTGGTGAGCACCATCCTATAGAATAAGTATTGAAAATATTATTTAATCATTTTTGTTATTATATAAGATTGGTGTTGCCAGTCGCAAGCTCGAATATGAAAGAGTTAAGGCTTGATGTTAGATAGATGGCTAATAAAAAATTTATGCGGAACTACTCAAATGAATTCAATTTTATATCAGTGGTAGTGTTGCCCTCAGTGGTAATGTTGTCCAAAATAAATGCATTGCAACCAAACCTTATTGTGAGGAGAATATGCAAAGAATTGCTTGGACAACACCCATTGGTAAAATGCAAAATTTTAATCCAATTATGATGACGAAAAAACATGAGTTAGCTAGACGATAACCGCCTAGTGACACACCACAACTTAGCCTAAATATAATTTGAGCTGTGAATTTAGCTCAAAAAACATCAATTGCTCGAAAACTTATTTGAATCTTAGCTCGGATCAAAATAAAGAAGTCAAGCTATGAGCCAAAACTTTGGATCAATTTTTTTTCGAGACGATTTCGAGCAATACACGGATCGGCTCGAACTCGGTCAAAATTGGCTCAAATTTTTTTTGTTTATAAAAATTATGTATAATTCTAAATGAAATCAAATATAATGAGCCACGAGCCAATTTCGAGCTGAAACAGATCCAAATAACTCAATTTGAGCCATCTTGTTTTGATTTCGAGTCGGATCGAGCAAATTTCGAGCTAGAACTAAACCAAATAACTCAAATTTAAGCCAGCTCATTAAAATGTCGAGCCCTATCGAGTTCGATTCAATTTCGAGCCGAGTTGGCTCAAAATCAAACATTACCGGCCACGAGCTGATTTCGATCAGAACTCAATCCAATCGAGTCGGGTCCAGATCGGCTCAAAATCGACTCATTAACAAACCTAATTATAATAAGAAATAGTGGTTAAAAATAACTTAAACTAAGGCTTATTGGCATCAACTTTTTGTTTGTTTTAATTTTTATTTCATTATTAATTTGAATTAAGCATGTTCATTTAGTATTGTGACAATCCTTTTATTTTGTTTTTTAAGCAATTCCAGTTGTTTTTTATAACACCCAGAATACCTACCAGTCTTTTATGTATTTTCCAAAACATAAATTCTCAAATACCCGACCTAGCAAATGATGTTGGCCAGCATTACACACATTATTGTCTGTGTCATACTTGTCATCGAGCCCCTGCAAGCATCATCGGCTCACCCTGTGCATCCTATAGGCCAACCCAATGACTACCGCTAACGCCACCATGCACTCCACCAACACCCCCAATTTTAATTTTCTTCATCCAATAGTGCAATGTAATTCTTACTAGTTGAGGAATTCATAGCTCTCCCAGGTCATTATGATTCACAAAATGTTTGAACTTATCAATTGGCTAGATTGAATAAGTAAATTATGTGCTTAGCAAGAAATCATCACAATTATGAAATAAAAGAAATACTAAAAAGTCTAATCCTACACATGATTATTTCTCATCACAAGGCATACGATTAAGAAAACTACTCCTATTTCATGGGTACAAAATAACATGATATATATATATATATATAAGATGGTTTCAAGAATTTCAAGAACTGCTCCGGGAGAACGTGGAGAATCATGGATTCATCTTTTTCTTTGTTGGTGAATTCTGTGAGTTTTGTGATTTTTTTGTTGGGGTGGAGGTGTAGAAACTGCTGCTTTCATTTCTATAATCTCCTTTCTTGGTGTTTCTTGAGTTTTGTGGCTTTTCTAGATTTCTTGCATTTCAAATTTTGAAGAGTGGATCGATTCTTTGAATCTGGTTGGTGGTACATTTACATTTGAAAGGAGTTTTAGATCTATTTTTCTGGTTTTCTATTTTGATACTATAGGAAATTCTCATTCCAATCCAGTTCTTGATTTTCTGCCTGAAAAATCAACTTTTGCTAAAGTGGTTGGGCATGGCGCTTTGGGGTTGGGGAATGGAGATAATCCTGTTTTCCCTCAATTATATCATGATTCTGCTGATGGTAAAGGTGATTGTAATTTGATCAAAAAGATTGTGAAAAAAGGTGGAAAACTTGCGTTGGTATTTTCGTATACTGAAATCTCGTCTGGCTGATGCCCATAAATTCACATTAATTGGAAAATTCCAATTGGGTAATCCGAAGATGGAGAGTATAAGGAGAACTTTTGAAGATCTTAAGCTAGTAGGTTCTTGGAAGTTAGGCTTGTTTGATGGTAGGCATGTTATGATTCATCTTACAAGGGAAGAAGGCTATGCAACAATTTTCTCAAAGAAGTTTATTCTGGTCGAAGGAAGGTATATGAAGATGCTTAAATGGTCACCAGATTTTGATCCTAGTCATGAATCTCCTATTGTACCAATTTGGCTTAAATTATCGGGGCTTAAATTGCATTACTTTAATCATCAAGTTTTGTTTTCAATTGGATCAGCTTTGGGAAGGCCTTTGAAAATTGGATTTGCCTGCATTCAATTTAACTAGGTCATCTGCTGCTAGAATTTTGGTGGAAAGAGATGTTTCACTGTCCGATGTAAACGAAATATGATTGGGTACAACCCATAATGGTTATTGGCAACCAACTATAATGAAGCAAAGGTCATATTATTGTCATCATTTTAAATGTTTGGGCACACAATGGACAAGTGTTATAAACTTCATCCTCATCTTAAAACTAAACCTTCTATGAAGCTGACTTCGCATGCTGATGTTGCCAAAGTTGATACGACCAGTGTGGAGGATATTGATGTACAACCTCATCTTATTGTGTCTCCAGTTATAGTAGTTGATTGTCCAGGGGAACCTAGTATTCTCATTGGGGAAGTTGTTCATGTGCAACCCAATTCTATTATCTCTTGTTCTGAGAAATATATGCTTAGCTGAAATTTGTGTTAGAGATGGGGGACATAGGATAATGAAGAAGTTCCTGATATGTTGGTTGGCCCAGTTAGTACTGGTGAAGAAGTTCATGAAGATGGTTTACTGAATAATGTTGAGCCATTGCATAAAAGTGTTGAGGATTCTTCTATTTTATTTCCTTCATCTGTTGAATATCCTATTCTTGAACAACCTGCTAATGTTATTATCCCAAACAATTTGAATGTGGCCAGGAATGAGTTGGAGGAGGATTGGGTGATATAAAAGGCTAAGAAGAAAAAGAATTTAGAGTTGAGACACTTATCTGCTGATAATATCATTATGAATAAGAGTTCTCCTCAAAATTAGAAAGCTTCTTTCCTCTCTAGGATTACTAGAGCAGGAAAACAGGCTATACATGATTAATTTTCTTTGTTGGAATATTAGGGGAGTAGCTAATCCTGACTCTTTTAATAGACTTATGAGTTTAAACAGGGTTCATGAGCTTTGGGCATTTGTTTTACTTAAACCTTTGGTTCAAACCAATTTGCAGAGATTTACTAAGAAGTTCAAGAGTTATATCTTCAAGCAGAATTGTTCCAATAAGATTTGGTTATTTTGTAGAAAAGAGATGAGGTTTGAGGTTTTGCAAGACCATCCACAATTTCTTCATATTGCTTTTGAATTTGAACAATTGAAAGGATTTGCTACTGTTATTTATGTTGGATGTTCTCATGATGCTAGGGTGGAGCTTTGGTCTAAACTACATTGCCTCAGTCATGGTATGACCGAGTGTTGGCTTGTTGGAGGAGATTTTAACTGTATTGCTAATCCTTCTGAAAAGAAGGGTGGAAGAAATCCAGATTTTAGTAAGATGTTAACTTTCACTAAGAATATTCAGATTGCTAAACTGTTTGATCTAGGGTTTGGTGGGTCTTCTTTTACTTGGAGGAGAGGCAATATTTGGGAAAGATTGGATAGATTTCTTGTGAACCAATCTTGGTTGGATCAGTTTTTTTTTTTTACGATCAAGTATCTTTCCAGAACTGGTTATGATCATTCTCCTTTGTTGTTAATTTTTTCTTTTACCAATAAAGCTAAGGTAGCTTCTTTTAGATACTTAAATGTTTGGGCTTCTTATCCTGGGTTTCAAAAGGTAGTGGAAACAAGCTGGAATTCTCCTGTTATTAATTTCTCTAGTAATCCTATAGAGAAGCTATGGATTTTACAGAAAAGATTGGCTAAGGTTCTTAAGGTATGGAACTGGACAAACTTTGAGAATTTGCACTTTAATGTTATCCAAGCTGAACAAGTTGTTGCCGAGTTGGAAAAGGATATAGAGGATGGGAAAGATTCTGAAAGTCAATTATTAATTGCTCAAAAAAATCTGCTTCATGCTATTGATCTGGAAGAATCATTTCTTCATCAAAAGGCTTCTAATGGTTGGTTTCTGCAGGCAGATAGAACTTCTAGATTTTTTCAAGCTATTATTAAATATAAAAGGAGTTTGAATGCAATTCTTCAGATTAAAAATGAGGCAGGAGATTGGATTACAGATCCTAAATGTATTGTTGAAAGTGTTATTGGGCATTTTCAGCATATTTTATTAGCTGACTCTACTGATTCCTCTATTTAACAAAGTTGTTCAACTTCTTTGTTTGACAGTAACTTATTGAATGGTTCTTCACTGGATCTGACAAGAGTGCCTGAGGAAAACAAAATTTATGATGCTGTGTTCAATTGATGGGAATAAAACTGCAAGGTGGGTCTGATGGGTACACTGCTGACTTTTATAAACAGCAATGGGGGATTATTAAAGGTGATGTGTTAATGTTGTCCAAGGTTTCTTTCATGGTGTTGATCTTCCTAAGTACTTTGCTGCTACTTTTATTGTACTGATTCCTAAGGATAGAAATAAGA